AAAACTTGTTTCACAGTCCCTCACAGAAATGACTGGGCTCTGTTTTCATTGCAACACAGAGGCTGTGGTGACTGAATGTCAAGGCACATCTAAAAGCTCTGATGTACGTCAGGGCTCTGGGGGCAGAGAAGCGTGGGGCTTTCCTCCCTTGTTCTGACAGCTGGTGAGATCTCAGCTGCAGAATCCATGGCAGAATTGATGTAGTGATGCAGACAGCAGAAAGGTAGTCAGGAAAGATGTCATCCTTTCAATGACAATCCTTTCAATCCTTTTTGGTCCCCGCTGTACAAAAAGATGTAGACAAGCTGGAGATGGCCCAGAGGAGACCACAAAGATGATCAAGGGACAGGGAAGCCTGCCATGTGAGGAAAGACTGAGAGAACTGGGTTTGTTCAGCCTTGAGAAGAGAGGGCTTCAGGGAGACCTCATCACCACGTTCCAGTATTGAAAGGGCGGCTACAAAGAAGATGAGACACCCTTTTTACAAGGAGTCACATGGAAAAGAGGAAGGTGAATGGATGCAAGCTATTCCTGGGGAGATTCTGGGTGGACACAAGAGGAAAATTTTTCATAATGAGAACAATCAGCCCCTGGAATAATCTCCCCAGGGAAGTGGTGGATTCCCCAACATTGGACACTTTTAAGATTCAGCCGGACAGGGTGCTGGGCCATCTTGTCTAGACTGTCCTTCTGCCAAGAAAGGTTGGGCCAGACAATCCTTGAGGTACCTTCCAACCCAGTGTGCTGTGATTCTATGATTCAATGCTGCAAATACATTAGAGAACAACTGCTTTCAAGACTAGTCCAAGCATATATTCTACAACAGATAAAAAAGAAACTATGTTGTCCTCAGGTTTCAAGTTCTTTGGCATTTCTTAGTCTTGCAGGTGACACTAAGTTGGAGAGAAGAGTTTACACACTCATGAAAGGACAGCCATTCACAAGCTGGGCATGAGCCAGCTGTGTGTCCTGGCAGCAAAAAGACCAACAGCCTCCTGGGCCCTATGAACAGGAGCAGGGCCAGGAGATCCAGGGAGGGGATCATCCCCCTCCAGTTAGTGCTTGGTGACCACAAATCAAACACTGCATCCAGTTTGGGGCCTCCCAGTAGAAGACAATGATCAACTGAAACAAGTTCAGTGGAGGACCACTGGGATGGTTGGGGCTGGAGCATTTGACCTGTGAGGAGAGGATAGCGGGGCTGGACTTGTTCAGCCTGAAAAAGGAATAGCTCTGGGGACACCTAACAGCCGCCTCCAGTGTCTCCAGGGCTTATCAAGACAAAGCAGGGCTCTTCATAATGGTGCATGGTAGGAGGATAAAAGCATACATAAACTGAAAAAAGAGGTTCAGACTAGATGTAAAACTTTTCTACCATGTGGACAGTTGAGCAAGATGTCCAGAGAGGCTGTGCAGGTTCTGTCCTTGGAGGTTTCCAGAGCCTAATTGGATATATCGCTGAGCATCCTGGTCTGACCCCACAACTGACCCTGCTGTGAGTAGGAGGTTGGACCAGAGACCTCCTGAGGTCACTACTTGCTCTGTTAAATACTTTGGTAAGGTAGGGATTTCTACTTATCTTGCTAACTGTTGCAGGCAATAGTATTTCCTCATGTTTCTCAGATCTGTGTATCCAGATGGACATGGGGAAATCAAAAATTCATAAGCAGAGATCTATGACCAGTGGAGGAGCTAAGCAACGCCAGGCTGGTACCAGTCGAGGTCCAGCTACGGCTGCATCCCACAGCATCACTCCTCTGTGCTGTCCTTCCCATTCAAGCACGGCTATGTTCACCCCTGCTCAGGCAGCACCCTGAAATAACTTGTCAGCAGATGCAAGCTTTTCCAAAGGGTCGATATGGGAAGCAGGACCTCTGCAGAATCCGCATGGGAAAGGCTGCTTTCCCAACACACAAAAAAAGACAGGGTCCTGTCATCCAAGTAGCTGCTAGCAGCTTCCCTGCCTGCTCAGAAAGGAGAAAGCATTTCTGTATTTCATGTTGCAGGGAATGTGGTTTTGCAGGAGGGCAAAAGGAGGACCCTCTATTCAGGTGGCAGTCAAAGGGAGCGGAGGGTGCTCAGCCGCCTGGCGGAATTGGCCCTGTATTGGTTACACCCCCAACTATTTGAGGAAAAACTTGGCCTCTCAAAGCTCTCTGCCTCTCTCCTGTGCCTTTGTATTCTCTGGAAGGTGAAGCGTAAGGATATAAAAAGCTGCAAACAAGTTCCTACCTCTGGAGACCAGGCATTTACTCTAAGAAAGAAAGACCAATTGCTTCCCAGAGCATTGTCCACCCACATTAGAGAAAGGATTAAGCAGATACATTCAGCTATTCTAACAGATTTTCTTTAAACCTTGAATACGCCTCTCACACTTGGTAAGATAATCACATTAGTTTTGTCATTAAAAGATCCCTTTTATAGAAAGTACCTAAACCGCTTAAACCACCCAGAGAGGTCGCATACATTAGAAAACAACAAGACAAACGGAAGGGATTTGCTATTCCTGGTCTCAGTGTTTCACTGCCCCTACTTTCAAAACTGAGGGATTGAACTGAAAGATTTTGCAAATCACCAGCGGAGGGTAAAGCTCCCGAGAGCTGGGCAGCAGTTGCTCTCACTTGCCCTGAGGAGCCTTCACTCCCCACCAAGGAAACTCTCAGATATAGCACTGAGAACTATGGAACATACATTTTCCATATGGAGATGCTCACGTTACAGCTGAAGCACCCCACTGATTTTCCTGAGCTGAGTATTTGGGACCCAAAAGCCAACTGAAAGATAAGCAACAGCTGACACAGTTTATTGCTGCCTTGGAGAGCACAAACATTGGGGTGCTCCACACTAAAGCAGCACATCCTTGCTCTCTACTGCTGCAGACATTTGCTGTCTCTGCATCACTCCCCAGGACTGGGGGGACCTCCATCATGGGGCTGCAGAGGGGACAGAGTGGGTCCCCACCTCAGCAAGGCCCAGAGTAGCAATACAATTAGCTGTTAGCAATATAACTAATGCTATGAAGCAATTTCTTCATTGGGCTTGTGTTATTGAAAGGACACATAGAAGGAAACTGCTCTAAAGCACGTGGATCAAATTGTTTCAGATTTGCTGGTGAAAATGAGTTGGGCTGGGGGAAAAGAAATTGAAAGGTTGACTTGGGGCATCAATGCTTATGTCTCTACAGCTGGAGACAGCACTGTGAAATCAAGGAATCAAAATAATATAGGAGCACAAATCTATTCATACCAGTTGCCCAGAATCTTTAAAACGATAAAATCACAATATTTTTTTTTTTAACAATAGAAGGGGAAATTTGAAAAGCACTTAAACACTGTGAATTTATCCCAGATATCATCTTCAGTTCAGATCTTTTGCCATTGCTTCACTGCTCAGGTAACACAAGGTAACATACATTTTCTGCTACCAAAACAGACCATTTAAGTTTTTTAACATAGACAGTCTTAAAGAAGCTGGATTTGTGAAGTAATTTTTGTAAGACCAAGACTTTGGTTCAAAAACACACAAAGAGGCTAGATTATAAAAATTCCAGAGGCTACAGTAGTACCACCCCGTAATATGCTAAACATCAACACCAGTGACACTATCACAGCAAATGACAGAGACATAAGTATAACGGGATTCAAACAAATCCCTCCAAAGGATCATTTAGAAATTATTCTTAAGGAATATAAATCACATACAAGGTTTCTACTTCAGACATGCTTCTATTTTAGGGAGCAGCGGTGTATTTTGGAAACATGAGATGAATGTGTTACTCACCCAGCTCTGTGAGGACCTGTTTTATTGTTCCAACACAAGCACAAGTCTGTCCCCATGGTGGTCTTTTAATACAGGTAATTCCTTCAATTTGGTCAAGGCTATGGGTGCAAGTATTACCGGGTAACAAGCCTGAGAAGTTTCAGACATATTATTTTTAACTCAAACTATCACAAAAATATTTAATTTTTTTCCTCTAAACACATAGTTTCATGAATGAACACCCCTAGTTACAGTATAGCAATGGTGTTCTCCTGAATCAACAGGGGAGGGCAAAAAATGTGAGCTTGGAGGATACAATCCCCTGTGCCCTTTCCACCCCATGTTTATGGGTTTCATAGCATCCTCCAAACTGTCAGAAAGACACAGTGATTCCACCATTAGTGCTGGAAGGAGCTAAACCGAGTGTCTATGTGCAAAGTCTTTAACATACATAAAGCTGTTTAGGTCATTTGTGTTTCCTTAGAGATTAGATTCACAACAGCTAAATACCCTTCTTAAGAACAGAGGCAGAAAAAAAAAATCCCTTTATTTAAAGCATATTGACATTTGTCTGCAACATATTTGGTGAACAGACACTATGGGAGACAAAACTTGATTCTCCCTTTGCATACCTTTTTCCTGCGATTAGAATCTACATTCCTGGTTTCTGAAGGGGACTTCCTTTCTATAGTCTCCTTTTATGATCTTAAGTTGAAATTACCTACAAATACAAGTTGCAGAAGCTATTTAGCTCCCTCCAAGACTCTGCAGCCTCAGCCCTGCCCAATTAACTCTTTGGGTTATACAACCCAGTTAAAACCTCCACTTGCCAGGTCAAGGAGTGTTACAGATCCATCCATACAACCATCGTAGACATGAAGGAAGTGTGTTTGCTTGGGACTGCAATAAGCTTTCAAAAACAAAATGGATTTTTTCCCACTATAGCTAGCTTGATTTACATTCAACATGGTTACCTATAGAGAACAACTGGTTCATACACCTGCTCCTCCCCAGGCAGCTAAACCTCTGAAGTGAGAAACTACCGGATGAGAGCAGAGCCTCACCATCTGGCAACTTGATTGCTGTGTGTGTATAACTTGAGGATTTCCCTAACTAGTTTTCCTCCCACTCTACCAAAGTCAAGCACAAAACAAGACAATGCTATTTGCAGAACTCCAAATCTGTAAAGGGATAAAAATCCATGTTCTTACAAAACAAGAGCCAGTTCCAGAAACTCACAATTCATTATTCTAGTGCATTTTTTATTGATACAAACTGAAATTTCAACAGCAAGATTCATGCTTTGGGGAAATCATTCATTCTTCTTCCTTCTGTATTTTCCCCAATGAGTAGAAAACATACATTTTAAAATTCCAATCATTCATGACACATGCCAAGGACATACATAAGCCTGAGATGAAGCACAGCCCATCATCATACACCTAGAAAGAGAAATCAGCCATTTCTCATGGCCCATTTTGTTCTCACCTGCATGAAACAAGCAGGAGAGCTAATATTTAGATGAGGTAGCCAAACATCACAGACAGTCCCTCGGTAGCATAGAGAGATGTGCACTCAGAGATAAATTCTGAAACCTTAGAGTAAGTAGGACCTAAAGTTTCAACTACTCGAGGGGAAAAAAAACTAAAAAGGAAGAACAATTAGAAATAACAGAAAGCTAGTCACCTAATTCATAAGCTAGTCCAAGCAGGAAGAACTTGATGCAAAATGCACTTAAATCAGTCTTACAGACAGAAACTGAATGGAATAATAGTACGATTATTGAAAAACAAATAAACAAAAAACCCCACAAACAAAGCCACACTGAACAATTTTTGTCTCTAAATGTAACTTCAAAATGTACAAAATGTGCGAACTGCATGGTTTATGCTTTATTAAAGGCATTTTTTTCTGCTCATGAAAAGAGTGAAGAGGAATGGAAGCTTAAATTACTTATGCTGATTGAAACTAAAAAGTGTTTTCCAAAGAACAAAGCAGCTCTTTCCTGAGAAAGTTCGTTAGCTAGCAGGGGAGAGAGAGAGAGGAGGAGACACAATCTGATTAACAATATATGGTAGCTGTTAATTTGGACCGTTCATAGTCCAATGCATTAATATCCCCATGTCTTTCTCCATACAACACAGAAATGTTTATCGCAGAATATGCACTTGGAGTAGCACCCTGAGAAATTGGTGGGAGCAGTTGGACCAGGCTCTTCCTTGCTCAGGTAAACCATTTGTATACCCAAATTGCTTTTATTCCTGCAGATTCCGTTCCTTGCCTTGCAGTAAACCAGGATATTACCATACCCTACTTAACACTAAGAAGATACAATGGTATTTCTAAACTTGACTGTAACCCACTTGATTAAAAAATCAATTTTTATTTGTTTCAGAAAAATGTAAGGTCACCCTATCATTATAAAGTACACAAGTAACAGACTGGAATATATTTATAGCAGAGTACCAAAAATCAAAACTCTTGGAAAAATGATTGTCAGCAGGGGTCAGGCAAATTCTACATAGATCTTCCCTTCCCCCTGTGGTTCTTCTTTGGTCTTATTCTCTATAGTCTCTTAAGTAATTACCTTGCTCAAGAGCATGAGGTTCAGATTGTGGAGTCTGAACATAAATGTCATATTCAACACAAGCCGAGGAAATGCCTGCAACTATTGGAAAGAAGATGCACAGGAGTGTTTTAAAAGACAAAATTTCAGTGTTGGGTTCACTTTCTTCCCAGAGGATGGGAGGAGACTGGAAACAGAGAAGGCCACCTGGTGTCTTAGGAAAATACTCAACTATCAGGCATATCACCAAAGCTGAGAAAACTTTTCAACCGAATTGGAATTTTAAGAGTCTGGGGACAAGAAGCCTTGCCCGAGTGTTTCTGAAACAGAGTTGTCCTTTAAACTGCAAAGAATCCTTTCTGAAGAAGGGCTTCAGTGTGAATGAAAACGAGGGGACTGCCCCAAGCCATTTATTAATGTCAAATATGCTGTCTCATGAATCAGGGCAGTTTGTCTGTTTTGGAAGCCTTACAGAAAGCCCAGTGCACCTGGCTCGTTGAGCTCAGCATCAGGCTTTAGGCTGATCCAAGAGGATAGCTGCATTCTGTGTTTTCAATAGTTTGTCCCGCAAACAATTTTTTTAAAAAGGCTTTTATTGAAGACCCATCAGCAAACAGATCATGCAGAATTTGAACAATACACAGAATGGGAGGGAGGGAGGAACCCACACAAGGCACAGCCCCAATTATTTGTCACTTCATAAGATCTAGCCAGCACAAGTGTCTCTTCAAGAGAATAGCTTCGAAAGCTTCCCAATTTGAAAAAGCTAAGTGTTTGTGGGGGATACACACATATACACATACACACACACAAAAAAATATATCCAGAGTTTTCTTTGGCAACTGTCATCACAGTGGCAGATATTTCAGAATTAGGACAAACAGCAAAGGAAGAAATAAAACCCTGATGCGGATTGTGCAAGCTCAGCCAGTTATCAGCAGAGTGAGTCTGGGCCCAGCCCTGACCATTCAGTACAGCATAGAATGGAAAAGCCACCTGAGGCAGCTTTGATTAATAAACTGCCAGAAAACTGGGGGGGCATGGGGGGGGTGGGGGGGTGTGGAGAAAAGAAAAAAGAAAAATAAGATATTTACTTCTTTTCCAGCACTGATTCCAAAGGGTAAGGACTGCTTAGTTTCTTTACAAAGAACACAGCCAGTTTCCCCATGCCTTCCCTATCTCTCCACCAAACATCACAGTAAGATGTGATTTCTGTTTCTTCATTATCTCTGTGCTCCTGCCCGGACAGTTTATACCATCCAAGGGTGCCTGAAATTCAGTCCCACTGAAGGCAGCAGGAGTTTCATCAACAGCACTGCCATTTAATCCACAGTATATACCAGCAGTCAGGACAACCACCACCTAGCTCAGCAAGGAAGGCATCAAGCCTAAAACAGGAACTCTTTATGGTAAAGCATTTGAGAAGAGCAGAAGAGGAAAACAAGCCAGAGCAGGCAGCTCAATCCATGCATTTTGACTAAAGTTTATTATCTGAGAATGCTCTCCATCTATCTGCTGCCTGCTTCTCTCATGGGCACAAGCAATAGTTAGCACTGCAACACGGGTGAGGAAGCAGGAGTGAAACGTTCAAATGACTGTGTGATAACGCTTGGCCCTACTCCCAGCAAAGCCAGCAGAGGTATAATGGCCACAGTCGTTGCAGTACCACTTCAGTGGCTGTGCCTGGCCTTCTTAATCCACTGCTTCATGTAGCAGATTTCCAAGGCTCGAGCTTGCTGCACAGATCTGGGGTCCAAAGGGTTGCGGCTGCGTAGGTCTAGGTGATGGGCTCCATCTGGGATCACAATTGCCACGAGGGAATCGGTGATGTTCTGAGTCACCCCACCTGCAGACCAGGGGTCCAGGCCACCATTGCTGTCAGGAGAGAACACTTCATTAGGGTACATCTGCACAGCAGCCAGCAGTGGGGCTGCAGCTCACATCAACATGTCCGTGTTGACTTTCACCTGGTTTTGCATGTGTACTGACAGAAACAGACCTCAGCCCTGCCTCAGTGTCTTGTGCCCATCACTCTGCAGAGAGAAGCCTTCTTGACAGAGGTACAAAGATATTAGTAACTTAAGCAAGGCTATGCTTCTGTCATTAATTATCTGTTAATTCAGATAATAGCCTATAATAGTGCCACAGTATCCGGAAATCAATTTGTTGCCACCTGTCATTGTCACAAAAGGTTCAGGTTCCCTTGCACCAAGGCTCCCCTGCAGCCAGACATGTCCAAATTCCAAAATCAAAGCTCTTTGCTCTCCTTCTTCACAGTATGCCATAATCTAATAAACAACTGGACCCTTTAGAGATGAATTTTCAGGAAGTTTACCTTTTGCTGTCTCAGCTGCATGTCAACCTGGTTTTGCAAGGAAATGCTTGGACTTCTGTTGGTCTCCTTATTTCTAATAACAACCACATTAAAAGCTTTTATCCCTCAAGAAACTGTGACTCTTCCTCTGTGACAGGACAATTTAATGCAATTCACTTCCCCTTCTCCCTCATCCCCAATCAACAAAAGCATTCCTTGCTCTATAGATCTGGCTCTGGATAATGCCTCGTCCATGGAGCAAGCCAATGGCTGAACAGGGATGTGGGTTTTTCTTCTCTCATTCCTAGCTTTGGGCTTGACCCAGTAATACCTACCACATCTTATTTTGCTTTACTGCAAAGTTCCTCCCACGTGTGGTCCATCTTTCTGCACAAAGCAAGCAACATCTGTATACTTATGAAACTACACAAATCTAGATCTGTTCCTCATTTAAAATACTGGACCTACCCTCAAAAGGAAACATTAGAGTGGGACTACTGCATGTCAGCATAAATTTCTAGGAATATCCAAGAAATTAAAACATCCTTGAACATTGAGATATGCAGCTAGAAAAATACCAAAATGGCAGCACCAGAAAATAACAGAAAGAATGAGTTAAAAATAATTTTTTAGAAAGAACTAAGAGTAAAAACTTGATGAGGTCTGAACTAATACATTATTTGTTCCTCCATTGAAAAGAACCAAGTATCTTGAATCTCTGTAGTTCTTCATTTTCGGTGATTCTAAATATGACTTAGGAGAAGAGAAACATTTTGTATCTGCAAAACAAAAAGCATACAGAGCTGACCAATAAGCAAAAAGCATTTGATTTAAAAGGTTGCCTGAATCAGCAGAGCACCTTGGCAACAGGGGGATGAGTTGCTGAGAGACCCAAGATGTACATGAACTTGGATCTTTTGGTCCCAGTCATGTGGAAACTAAGCATGCCACAAAAAACCAACACTGTCTCTGGCTTTTCTGAGAGCTTCTGGCTGCATCCTCTGCAGTTCCTGCCAAATGATGGCACCAGAGGCACTGACGCAGTTTGGGAAGTCATACTTGCTGAGAGGAGGGGCGGTGGGGGGCTCACCATAAAAGTCTTAACAGTTTAACAGAATAAGATAATTCAGTACCAAGTGGGATGGTTTATTTATGTGTTAAAACTAAGCATGCATGTAAGTACACAGTTGCCCATCTTATAGGACAGGAGTTTCCCAATGTACACAGAAGCAGTAAAAGAAAAGAAAGAATAAAAAGTCAGCCATTCCTTTCTAGCAGTGTCCAGGCAAGTAGGGCTTCAGAAAAACAACCCTAATGCAAAATATCAGCACACTAGTCCTGTTTTCAATTCATATTTCCTTGACAGCATAAATAGGGTCCTGCCTACCCCACAGTATGCAGTTCCCTTTCCTATCATCTCTTCAGAGCCTACTCAGCTCTCTAGCCCTGCCCAGAACAGAGAGGTTTTACACAACTTTAGCAGCATATCTGTGCATCCTTTTTTATTATGTCCATTCCCCACAATTGCCAAGTTTTGTTTTATCAATTTTTTTTCTCTCACCTTTTCTCTTCAGCCAGGCAGCAATCTGCCTTTTCTTCTCCTCCATTCCCTTCTTTTATGCTAACAATCCACCTCTTTTGCTAACAATGTGCAGAACTGGATAGGTGGGTGCTCTAATTTAGAAGTGTACAGACTAGGTGTGATCCATTCAGATTGAAAAATATCAATTTTTAGACTGTGCACACCAAATTTATTACTGTTGGATACAACCTGGGCTGATTTTGACTACCATAGTATGTTGATGATGAGACACTACCAAAAGCTACAAACTCTTTGCCACCACATGCATGAAGAGCATTAAAACACCATTTCCTCCTCTGTGCAGCACTTCCACACCAAGTACGCAGCACGTTCCGCTAAGAGTACCAGGGGTGGAAACTGCTGGAAGAAAAAGGGAAAACAGGGTTCTGAAACCCCCAACTTCCTCAAACTAGTGTTTTAATAAAGATACACTGCCTGATACAGGCAAGTAATATCTGCCTACAGCCCAAGTAACCACTCACTCACTACCTACCCTGAAGAAGGTAAAGTGGCAATGGAGACTCCTGTGTCGATCCCATACAACACAGCGTGACTGCAGTGATGCACTGCTCACAGAGGTAGAAGCAGCAACACCTATTTAAGTATCCTGGCCAAATCCCACAGCAGCTAGATAAATCCACCCTACAGTGGTTCTCTTCAGATGGAACATTCTTCTCTTCCTGTGCTAAACTGTTGAGCAAGTTGCCTGACACTTGAAACACAGTGCTTTACCCCACGGGGAGCCACATCCCCTGGTAAACATAGGGGTATTTTTGTAAAGCACTCTGCAGTGTTCAAGGATAAAAGGCTCTTATATAAAATGTACAGTATTGACAGTGTATTTGTTTGAAGAGAAACAACCCAGCTTGAGATCCAAACCTCTGTGTGTACAGCACTACTTCTTCATTGATTTGGTTGCTTTCAAGCTTTTCTCATTTCAAGCTCCTTCAGCTGGCATAAACTCTTAAACACTTAGATTTGTTTGCTTGTCTATCGTTCACAAAGCAGACTTCTACTGTACAGAGCTGTGAAGCCTTGGAAATAAGCAACACTGCAGAAATTAAGTTAAACCAACACTTTTTTTTTATTAAAAAGTTTTCCAAAAAAGGGTGGACTTTCTCACTCCAGAACAGATATCCTGCTGGGACGGAAACAGCAAGAAGCAAACACAAGAGGAAAGTAACAGGTCTTTGGAGGCAAACAGACCAACGCTAACAGTTGAAATAGAGACTACTTCCCAATTCAAATGAGAACTTTCTACTTTTAAAATACACACCTATTTACCAAGCCAAACAGACTAATTCTGAGTTTTGTTTAAAGAAGTGGCAGGGATTATTTTGAAAAGGCCTTGCACGATTTTAACCAGAGCAGAGAGTAATATATTTATCTATCTATCTATGTATCTCCATATCCATCCAGGGTCTGCCTGCAGTGGGCAACCAGTACAGCAAGTCAGAACTTTTGAAGCACAGGCTCTACTGGGTTTATTAAATGCCTCCCTACCACATAACAACCTAATGAACAGCCAGTATGTAGCTGTTCTGAATTTTGTATCACCTCACAGCAGAAGTATAGCTACCCAAATATCCCTTTAAAGAAAGCAGAGTTTAAACCTTAAAAATAAGGAAAGTGAAGGCTGTGTAGAACACAAACAGCATGCACTAGTCTGGAACATTTCTTTCACTTTTTGTCCGCATTCAAAGGTGCTTCAGAAAAGCTTCTGTTGTATTACTGGTATGCCTTGCTAGAATGGAAACATCTCTTTGTGCTTGGATGTTACACAAGTTTGTTGAAACTTGCCTAAGTACCACTAAAAGAAATGGGCAATTGGCAGTGATAGGAAAGCTCCCCAAGTTATTTCCCTCTTTCTTCTGTATCAAAGAGGAATGTCACACCAGCCCCTCCACAAGGCTATCACCCTGAGCAACACTTTTAGTGACTGAGATCCTGTGTCACATCTAGAGCTTCTTTAGACTTTCCTATTATGTGGAAGAGACAGTGCTTTGGCTTCATAAAAGCTAAATGGACTTACCAGCATGGGAAACCTGGACTTTGACCACACATAAGGAGTCCACATTGGAAAAAAATTACATTTCGCAGAATCCCAACCCAGATTGTTCTTTTAGAGTCACACAGGCAGTGACAGAACTGTTGGCTTCTCTGGCCACTGCAGCTTCAGCATTTTACTCCCAAGAGCAATACAAAGCATGCCCATCATTTATTCAGCTAGATTGTTGGACACAGATCCTTTTGCTACTTATGGCAGGCTCTCTGCACTGACAACCCAAACTGGTGGAAGACTCCACTCTAGAAACTGAAACAAGGCTTACCTGAAGACAATGTTGCTGTGTGAACTGATGTTTTTCCCTCCATACATAGAAAGAATCCAAGAGGGACGAGGTCTTACTCCCCACAGCCTGTAACACTCTTCTGAAAGTGCATCAAAGTCCCATTTCTCAGGCTCAAACATGTCACTGATGCCATCTGTGCACATGGGCATCACCATTTCGGTGCAAGCCTGAAAGAGCGAGCAGGGCAACAACATGTATTCCCAGGACACTGTTCAAAAGCTGTTAGTAGAGTGTTTAAATAAATATGCTCAAACAGGATTTGATCACTAATTACCACCAAACCATTTAGGGTGGAAAAGGCCCTTAAGATCTTCAAGTTCAACCATTAACCGAACACTGCCAAGTCCACCACTAAGCCATGTCCCTAAGCACCACATCTACATGTCTCAAATACCTCCAGGGATGGTGACTCAATCACTTCACTGGGCATCCTGTTCCAATGCCTGACAACCTTTTCAGTGAAGAAATTTTTCCTAATAACGAATCTAAACCTCCTCGACACAATTTGAGGCCATTACCTCTTGTCCTACAGCTTATTACTTAGGAAAGGAGACTGACCTCCACCTCGCTACAACCTCCTTTCAGGTAGATGTAGAGAGCAATAATGCTCCCCTGAGCCTCCTTCTCTCCAGGCTAAACGACCCCAGTTCCCTCAGCTGCTCCTCAGAAGGCTTGTGCTCTGGACCCTTAACTACCTTCATTGCCCTCTGGACATGTTCCAGCACCTCAATGTCTTTCTTGTAGTGAGGGGCCCAAAACTGAACACAGGATTCGAGGTGTGACCTCACCATTGCCGAGTACAGGGGGACGATCGCTTCCCTAGTTCTGCTGGCCACACTATCTCTGATACAAGCCAGGATGCTCTTGGCCTTGACCACCTTGGGCACACTGTCAGGTCACATTCAGCCTGCTACCAACCAACACCCCCAGGTCCTTTTCCACCAGGGAGCTTTCCAGCCACTCTGCCCCAAGACGGTAGCGTTGCATGGGGTGGTTGTGACCCAAGTGCAGGACCCGGCACTGAAACTTGTTGAACCTCATACAGCTGGCCTCAGCCCTCAGATCCAGCCTGTCCAGATCCCTCCATAGAGCCTTCCTACCCTCCAGCAGGTCAACACTCCTGTCCAACTTGGTGTCATCTGCAAACTTACCGAGGGTGCACTCAATACCCTCATCCAGATCACCGATAAAGATATTAAACAGAACTGGCCCCAATACTGAGCCCTGGGGAACACCACTTGTGACCGGCCACCAACTGCATTTAGCTCCATTCCCCACCACGCTTTAGGCCCGGCCATCCAGCCAGTTTTTTTTACCCAGTGAAGAGCGCACCAATCCAAACTGTGAGTAGCCAGTTTCTCTAGGAGAATGCTGTGGGAAACAGCGTCAAATGTTTGTACTAAAGTCCAGGTAAACAGTATCCACAGCCTTTCCCTCATCCACCAAGTGGATCATCACTAAGCCTGATCACCTGGTTGTCCTGTATGTGCCATGTGATGGCACCCAAGGTGAACTGCTCCATAACCTTCCCTGGCACCAAGATCAGACTGACAGGCCTGTAGTTCTCTGGATCCTCCTTCCAGCTCTTCTTGTAGATTGTACAGAACACACATACCAAGCAAAAGTTTTCTCTTTCACACAAACTATTCTCTGATATCTTACTGATACTAGCAAAAAAAGGAAAACAAACTATATCCTGGAAGCAACATATTCCCCACCATGGCAATTAATCTGTTTGTACTTGTCCCCCTTCCTACATGCCTTCAGAAGCAGGCAGGGAACAAGCTGTATAGTGGATGTGTTGTTTTGATGAGCCCAGCTGTCATATTTTTGGTTACCCATATGGCATTTCCCCCTTTTCTCAGAGGACAACTTACAAAGCCTGCACATCTCCTGGGGCTGTCCAGCACAAATGCATAAGAGACAGCAGCCAAGAGCAGATGGTCACGACCTGAACACTGATTCCTAACACCTTGCTTCTGGAAGCAGCTGTCCCGCCCCTCTGAAGAAAGACTGTGTATAACTGTGTTGCATGTGCTTAGTAAATGGGATAGAGAAAGCAGAATGCCCTGGATCTCTTACTGCAGGAATCTGTATTTTTGTTGCTCACTTGATGGGAAAGGCTGTGTCTTGGTGAGCTACAGGATAAACAGCTTTTGTTGAAAGAAATTAGTATCAACATATCCTCACATATTTGCCTGCACAAATTGAGGTAGGCAGCTGGGATGGGGGGATTAGAAGACCGAGATGCTGCTGCTGTATATAACTTTCAGACAATGTGAAGAGCTGAAACTCAACAATTAGCTAGATAACGAAGATACAACCTAAACCTCCTGGGAAAGCTGCTTCTCTTTTGTGCCTTGCCCGCCCCACTATAACCATACCTGCTTCATGCTTACATTTGGCATCAGTACATCAATTACATCCGGTGCAATACATTGACAGCTAATTGACTTGACAATTCTCATCAGCTCTAGCCCAAAAAACCTCACCAAGTTACAATTTGGAAAGGATAGAGCACATACCTGATAGTACCAACCCAACTGTCCCAGATTCTTTGTTGCAGTCTCCAACATGTCTAAGCATGAGGCTTCTCCCGAATAATTGTAATATAAATTTACTGCCTGGAAAATATTCTGCAGCAACAATTTGTCAGAGATACTGGGATCTTTCAAGAACTTGCAGACTTCCTGCAATGGAGAGAAGGGAGAGTTAAAACTATCAGAAATAAAGATTAATACATGATACCAGATGGGATATCAATATCTTTTCAAAGTACTGTCAGACCTCTTCCAGAAAGCATCTTTCTATGCAATGATATACCCTGAGCATTATCATGAAAAGCAGTATTCCACTGGCATAGTGCATGCTACTATGAGGGACGTGAAACCACCTCCTGGTTAAAACTTTAAAACCAGTGCAACCTGAATATTTCATTCAAACTTTACAATCTGTTTCCCATTCTTTAAAACAGATACTTAATAAAGAGCATTTAATGAAAGACGACACATGCAAATATGTAACAAAAGCTCCAGGTAGAGATTTGGGTTCCCTGCAGTTTGCTCTAATATAAATGGAAACATCCATGTAGGGAAACCTCTAACATTTTTTAAGTCTTCTTATGCAGCAACATTGCAAAATTCTTACATCTTCGTGTTCAGAAAATATGAAGTGGTAAAACAAGACACTGTCTCACCAGTGAAAAATTAAGAGCAATCTTGGATAGAGTTTAATTCAAAATCTTAACTGAGGACACAAGTAGTGGGGAAAAAAAAAAACAGAACAAAACCCAGAAAACACAAAAGCTACTGTTGCAGAAAGTTTTCTCATCTTAAAACACTCTTTTTGGCAAGGCTCTCTCCTTGCCCCTGCTCCCATGGAGTTGGGACTAATAAAAGAACAGTGAAGGGCAAAAGCTGTGAATCTGAGCTCCCAGCTCACCAGAAGACTCCAAAGTTACTCTCTGCAGGAAGCAAATGACACACTGCAACTCCAGTGCTGTTCAAGTACAGGGGGCACAGGCACACGGAGACAACTCACAAGGCCAGTGCAAACTGCATCTTCCCAGAAGTGAACTTCCTACCCTACCCTCTCCTGTATAATCTTTTTCCCCTCATTTTCATTGTGGAAGCTAGGAAACCAATCCCTCCCTTGTCCCCTACAGAAAGTGTCAGAGCACAGCTCCCACATTTTGCTATTCCAAATAGGTTTTATGGTTTGGCTAGCTCAGCCATTGGTTCTTAACTCAGCAATTAGAGGTTTAGAGAGCTTACTAATTCATGCACATATACACTGCAAAGAGATATCAAAGCAGAGGGCTGCAGACAGTTCTGTATCTGAAGCTGAAATTGCGTGGTAGAGACAGAGATCACTATTTCTGAGATAGTACTGGCAGCCCACAACACAGAACAGATTATGCAATATATATCTAGCTACCCAAACACACTTTTCTCCCTTTTCTCACTCTCAGAATCAGATTAGTGCTTCTGTTTCGGAAAAAAGCCTCTGAACAGCTTAAATAACTCAGATTTCATACATTAGCATTGTCCAGATAAGGAGCAGCCTTTTCTATTTTAGGTTTATACCTCAACTGAACAGAGATAGCATGGACAGAGGCAAAGGTGAGCACATTTCTTGTGTCAGATTGATAAAACAGCAGAAATAATTTTCAAGGTGTTCATACTGCCCTTTTCAGACAGCCACCTAAGACAGATGAATGTCCCTCCCTTCCTCCATCAGGCAGCTCTACACAAGGAAAAATTTTTATTTTATATTGAACTACTACTTAGTAGTGAAAAATACTAATATATTACCTGCCTCACTTGTCATACACAGTAAACCCAAAGCCATGCAGGGAAATTCAAACAGGGTCTTAAAAGAACAAAAACACTCTAAGAAAATAGAAATCTTGAAAGCACTACAGATAAACAGAACTGCCCAAGTGAAGGTTTGAAATTGTGAAAAGTGGTTCTGCTTTGAGAAGCGACCCTGCAAGGAAAACTTTTATGGGGATCCACACTTACTCTCACTTAGTTCTCCCACATCAAAAAGAACATAGGCTCAAAACTTTGTCTTCAATTGCAAGCTCTGACAACTAAGCTCCCATCAGAAGCTTTAATTGCATGTGTTTTTTGTGCAGCAATCCTGCTCCTCATCTCTGCAGGACAGCTGAGGATTTTCAGTCATCCCTGATACTTTTCCTCTGGGCTCTTGATGCAATTTATTAGCCCTACAAGCAGCCATTAGTCAAACCAGTTGATACGCAAGAAGAAATTGCCCTGGTTCTCTTTCCAGCCATGTTGGTTCTACAAAGCCAAAAATAAAGGAAAATGTGCAGAGTAGGAGACAAGGAGAAAATTAGTTAAAACAAATGGTGAATTCTACAAGACACTGATTCTTAGTTACCTGTACAGGCCAAGCTGGCAGAGGCTGCAAGAAGTCAGCTTTGTAGGGATAGTTCACCATAGCCAAGTTTACCCATGTTTCACTCAGCCAATTTTTCAATACAGCAGCATCCTGAAGATTTTTTAATGGGGTGCACAAATGAAATGTGCTGGAAAGCCACTGTAAACCTGCATCTTTAATAATAAATAAAATATTTAATGTATTGTACCATTAACACACAGGTCAGTTGTGCTGCTGCTAAAAAATATTTTCACTTAGCATACCTAATCTGGTGAAATTATTCCACATACATACAAAGCACAGCAAATTAAATTTTAATCAACACCTCTAAGTGAAGGGAAATACAATCTGCATACTTCAGCATATGGGTGTGTCACACCTGAGATTATACAAAAAACAAAGACAGATTTACAACACTTTTGGCATTTTTTTGATAGAAGTAACATCAGGGCATGCTTCTTCCAATTAAAAGAAAAATTTCAAACCAGCTAGCTCAGTGCAAGGACTGTTAATAGATAGATCTCTTGGGACTCTCCTGGCCTTTGCTTTCATTATTTTATCTGGTCTAGAACTCATCCCATTCATCTTCCTTGATTTTAATTAGCTAACTCATCATACCAGGCTTTCTCTTAAGGACACTTAATTAAAAAAAAAAAAATCTTGGTACTTCAGTTAATTCCTTTGTTGTACAGTGATCTCATCTGATATAGAATCATAGAATCATTCAGGTTGGAAAAGACCCTTAGGATCATCAGGTCCATTAACCTAGCACTGACAATTCCACTACTAAACCATGTCCCTAAGTGCCACATCTACATGTCTTTTAAATATCTCCAGGGGTGGTGACTCAACCACTTCCCTGGGCAGCCTGTTCTAAAGCTAAACAAGCCTTTCAGTGAAGAATTTTCTCCTAATATCCAATCTAAACCTCCCCTGGTACAACTTGAAGCCATTTCCTCTTGTCCTATCACTTGTTACCTGGGAAAAGAGACCAACATCCACCTTGCTACAACCTCCTTTCAGGTAGTTGTAGAATCAGAATCGTTTAGGTTGGAAAAGACCCTTAAGATCAAATCCAGCTCAGTCTCTAGCACTGAATTCATAAGGGCTACAGTGTTTTTTCTGTACCTGATTGCCTCGGTATTTAAACTATATTTCTTGGAGTAACAACTAACCTGGCCTACTCTGTCGGGAAGAAATACAAGCCTTGAGGTTCTGATCTGGAATCAGCCCTGTCTGAATTTAGGGATGTTTGGACCTGGATTCTAGATCACATCAGGCCTGAATGAAGCTTGTGATCCAACAAAACAGACATTTAAGAAATAATCATGAAGCCATTTGGCAATTTTCAGAACTAATGGCATAGTTTCAAAAAACCCCAATACCTATATAGATGAATGCCGTAACACAAGTTTGTTGATTTTATTAAGTCATAGAACAATCCTGAACACCATGACCCTTTGCAAAAATATTGGTGAGGTCTTACCTGTTGAGGAAAGACGGTTAATGGCATTCCAGGAATTCCGGATGCTTTCTGAGCAGCCTGTCCCACTCTTTTTGAAATCATTGGTCACTATGCTGAAGTAAGTGCCACACGGAACCAAATCACCAAACTGCCAGATTGGGGCAGAGGCTGCCAGAGCTCTGCAAAGGGACATAAAAAGATCCTGAACCCCTGCAAAGCGAACTTCTGTCCTCTGGTCAGTGCCCTCCTCACAGTCACTATTTAAGTAGCATTTATAATTCAGCTTGGTCACTGAGTCCTAGGCAAACTAACCATAACGTTGCAAAACTATCCCATAGGTCTGCATGCAGAGGCTGTTGAAGGTTAAGTCTTGGACACAAACATAAAGAGACCAGTAAATACATAAAGTAGAAATTCAGACTTGCTTACTTCAGTATTTTTCATTCTTACCTAGCAACTAGGTCTTTCTCACTAGGCACTGTTTAAACTCAACTGAAGAGAGCCCCTGGCCACAAAAATCTATTCTCTAGCATAAAAGGTAGGGAAATTACTATTCTTGTTTCCTAGAGGAGAACAAAGGCACTGAAGAGATTAAAGACCTGCCTCAAGTCATCAGGAAGTCTGGTGACCCTAAAAAAAATCATGTGCGAAGTCAGTGTTCATAATAATTGTTTTCACAAAACTAATAGATAGCTCTGAAAATATATGCCATCCAGTACCTTCTGAACTACAGTTGTCTTACAGGCAAACAGTACATCTTCCCAAATTCAAGGTAACTTAATTCCTCCTCTGAATAGTGAAAAATTCAAGCCAGCTTAAATTATGGTACTTCTCCCAGTGCTGTAATATTTATAGCATAGAAGTAACAAACGCCCACTCTGTGTATGAGCAGAATGAGTACACTCACCCAACTACCACATGGGGGTACTTCATCCTAAACCAGGCTGCAAGCATTCCTCCGTAGGATCCTCCTATAGCTATGACAGGACTGTAACGGGCTCCTGCAATGGTCGTCTTTAAGTACTCAATTAGTACTGCAAAGTCTGCCAGAGCTTGTTCTGAAGTCAGGTAATTCAGATGCTTGGAATCCTGAGACAAAGAAAGCAGGGTATATACAGCATTGGAGTGATTTCCAGGAGCAGTCTTTCTATTCCCCACAGCTGCTGTAGGGTTCTAAATCTGTGCCTGATAACAAATTAAATATTTGCAGGTGTCCCTTGAAATGCTAGAACATCTCAGATTTTTTTTTTTTTTTAATCCTAGCATTGATAGTTACAAAAATAGGATGGTTGTGTGCTTCTAGCACATTCAAATCTTGCTAAGGCTAACAGTCTTTGCACTGGCGAGAATTACAATAGGCAGAATTATGTTTGTACAGAACACATTTAAGGAAGACAAAGGATGACACTTACGCTGAAAGACTCATTCCCAAAGGGCAAAGATTCTCCATAATATCTATGTTCAGCAAATACTAACATGGCATTAAGCTCTTCAGCAACATCCCACATAAACCCCTGGTTGGATGAAAACAGACATTTAAATAAGTAGAATCAATTATTTTCAAAGTCTCTATTTTCAGTCTAGTGAATTCCAACTTATTCTTTGATTAGTAAGATATCACTATCAAAATACAATTAGACAGAGTGCAATTTGGTTTTAAATTATCACTGAAGTAAGAAAACACACAAAACAGATAACCACCCAGAGACAGGGACACATACAAAAAAAACATGCATATTTTAATTCTGCAAAATATTAAACAGTATTGTTTTGTGAGTACACATGGGCAATCCTGACAGAACTCCTATGGCACAAAGTTAATACATAGGAAATAAACACTGCAGGAAAAAAAGCATGCATTTGAGTTAGGACGACATTACAGAAAACGCAAAATTTGTTTGGCAATAAGCAATAATCTAAAGCATTGCAACACACTTATTTTCAACTAATAAATAACTATAACTTGTTATTACTTGTTGACAGCAGCTTGTTACCACCAGTTATGGAAACAGGCAGACAGAGATCGCCTGCTGACAGAACAAAGTGTGTAAGCAGCCCTTGGTTGCTTTGAGCTCAGCACATGACACCTCCTGTTGTGTTACTGGACTTTGTATTGAAGTGGCTGAAAAATACCCACACACTCCATTCTGCATTTTTATCAGTCAGGGAAGTAAAAACTTCCACAGCGCTTGTCGGGGAACAAGAATCATCTATCTTTCATTTCCAGCCCCCTTCTTTTCACTTCACATTTTTCTTACAGAGAAAAAAAAACATCAAACCCTCCCATTTTACTTAGGGGATCTAAAATAATTACTAGTTATACCTAAAGTGTAATTTGGTCCAAAATTTTGCATTCTTAGCTTGAGGCACCTTATAGTGTTTCCTTGAGATTTTCTTCACTACTCCAGGAAATTAATACAAGTGCATCCCCTTGATTTCTATGGGCTTTGAGCAGGACCCTGCACCCCCTAAAACTTTTTCTGTGCTTTTGTTCAGTTTCCTCTTCCTCCTATAACAATCATAACAATTACAAACATCTCTTTAAATTACGTTCTGACACTCTCTCCTTGTTCTTTTTTATTTTTTTCAGTACATTGCTACAGGAAAGAAGGACTGTAATTCAAGAATCAAGAATTTATTTTCTGCATACCGTATTGTTGCAGAACCACGTGATGTCTCCTTCATTGCCCGTGTAAAATAGTATTGGTCCATTGTCTTTCTTCCAGTGCTGATCTGCTATAAGATAACGCTGCTGGAATGTAAGATTTTCATCAAATCCAAAGTGATCAATCTGTAAGAACAAGGAACAATATGTTCAGAAAGCTAAAATTGATCCTGGAGTCAACTGGAAGTGCTGACAGTCACTTTACGGAAGAAAAAATAAAGCAAAAAAGTTTTACCAAGATAAAATATGACATTGAATTAATTTATATTCCTAATACATCAAAATTATTCTGCTTTATGAAGGAAACCAGCCAAAATTACAGATGTATATGCCAAAGGAGAATGTTATTTTCAGCCATAATAGAAAAAAAAAAACAAACATGCCCTTTTTATAGTATCGTACTTAAAATGAGATTTTCTAAATATATTTAGGAAATGAGACAAATCTTCTGAGGTGTCACAAAGTATTTCATGTAATAAAACTGTATCAACAAGTAGAGTCATTGTCCCACAACGTTTTGAGTCTTAGGAAAATTCTTTACTAGCCTTATCATTTATTAAATTAAAAAACCCAAAACAAACAAAAAAAAGGCACCTCTTTCTTCTCTCCCCCTTTTGGCATAAGACCGAAATTTAAACAGATTCACAGATTCTTGTTAGAAAGTGTTTTGTTTTTTTAATTCTTAGAAAATACTATTTCTCTGTAGTTCTTGTGCTATTGACAGATTTTTCAGACAGTTTTGTGAACATTCTCCTCTCCGTGTAATTTTCACTATCCACATATCCTCCCCAATTTTTTCTACTGCCCTACAAATATTGCAAGCCTATGTACACCAATTAACCCAAATCCCATGATGCTAGCTCTATTCCCTCATTAGAAATTCAATTTTCATTCCTAAGGTCAGTTTTTCAGCTTTTATTGACACTGCTTTGCATGCACTATTCTCCTTGATCCTTCCCCAAGCATTCATGTGTACCGGAAAGTTTATCAGTCACTTTTACAAGGTAACCCCCTGCACGGGCATAATCTTATTCTGGAATGCCTGTGAAGGCTTTTACTATAAAAAAAATTTTTAAGAAACCAAACCAAAACACAAAACTACTGCAGAATAGCTATGCTGTTTAATTACCACGTATGGACAAATCATCACTATTTTTCTTCATCGGTTGAAGATGACCTGTAGCTTCCCAATTTTGCCTTCCATCAGCACAAAGCATCATCTTTTCCTTTCAGTTTCTTGCTGGCGGTAACAGCCTGACCTCTGCTGGCTTGAACATCTCTGCTCACCCATCTGCTTTTACACCAAAAACTCTGCCAAATCTTCTCAGATGCTCTAGGAACCAACCTTTCACAGTTTCTGTTTTGGGAACCTCTGCAAGTTAACGTTAAAAAGCAGCAAATCACACAAATCCAAGCACTCACTGCTAACCTAGTGACCCAACTGCTGGGCAGATTCCTCCAGGGAGCTCAGGAAAGCCTGACTCTTGACCTGCAGGATGCAGCTACTCCACACCACGTACTTACATTTAATTTGGGTCAAAGAGAGTGGAGGAATTTAAGATATACAATCTGCTGCAAAGTGGCTTTCCAAACTCTCTCAAAGCTTACTCACTCTTGGACTGAAGTGAGAGGACAGTTGTGTTGCAGCTCACCACTAGCAGAACAGCAGGAGCAGTTGAAGGTCTGTGCATGATCTTGACAGACATAAGAGACAAGGTCTTCACCATAAGTTAACTTCACTGACTGCTTCCAGACCCAAAGAGAACTAAATTATGTATGTTCTACAGTTTTGCTCAGTAAGACCATTTATTATTTTGTCATAAGTATGTGGTGACGTTATGTGCATATTTAAGGGGTCTTTCACTGAATTCAAGTGCTGACAGCACATGCTGTACTTCTTGCACACTGACAATGCACCTTTATCATTTGCACAGTTATTAATTTTAGTTTCGCTTTCTACATCGGGCATAATCACGAGTGATTAGATGTAGAAAGGCAGAACAAGGTCAGCAACTGAAAAGTATTTGATCATAAGACCTTGTGACAGTTAAAGAGAAGGATCAGATAACGCACATCTAATAAAAACCACAGTATAGTTTATTAAACTTCAACACTATTAGAAAGTACAACACATCTTTTGTCTCAAAAGGGGAGAAATATCTTTCTCCATTTAACTTTTCTGGTTAGGCTGCTAGTGAGAGATAGGAAAAAAACACAGCTCACGTGTCCTGTCTGCCCTTTATAGAACCATCTAAAATTAAACACTTAGTTTTAAAACTTGATTTTGCATCCTTCCTGCCTGAAGCCATAGTGCCAACTACAAGACTACACCACAAAGTATTCAACTGTCCTGATCTACAAAGTTATGTATCACAATCTTCCCAGTGCAGGCAGCTTAATATGCAACAGACAAAAAAACATACAGTAGAGGTGGGGAAGAAACAAATCCGAGTAGTTTAATGGATGAGCATCCTTTTGGCACCAGACTGAGGTTATTCAATCGGTTATTGTGCAGAACAGATTCTAAAGCCCATCTGTCTGTTCCTATTCCACAGGAGCTGTAACATCAGGATAATAATATTTAAATATGAATATATTTTCCTGAATGAAGGCAAATTTTCTTTAGAGATATGATTTACTGTGATTTCCTTGTTATGTGATCTGTCAGTCTGCTCCCACACAACAAACCGCAAAATCCCAATGCTCTAGTGAGTCTGCCTCTCAACACTGAGATGGAGAATTTAAGTTTTCTTTTGCCGGTTTTAGTAACCACACTGATCAAAGTGTCATGATTTTCCATCTTGACTCTAAGCCATGCTGTAGACTCACTCACTACCATCAGTCATGTTCTTTCCCATTTCTCCCTCAATCTGTAAAATTGATAGCCTCACAGCAGCTGAACTGCCTCTGTTCATCATATTCATAACACATCAAACCATGGACACGTGTAAGATTCCAGACAGCACAGATAAAAGTCCAGACCTCTACAGAAAAAGACACAAGTACTTATTACTCAACTGAAGAGCAGGAACTCCTTTATTGCTAGATGATATAGCTTCATACCTTGCTTTTGCGAGGGTAAGACACATAACATGACTGAAAAACCTGATGTTTGTAAAGCAGAGAAATAGAGATGTCACAATTACTGGTTATTGCCAATAAATTAAAACTGTATCTAGAATATCAAAACACAGTTTGGAGGCATCACAAGGAGTATTTCCTCATAAGAGTAAAAATTCTTTGAAAATGTATTAAGTCAGAGGGAAGAAGCACAAGAATCAATCTAAAATTGTGAAATGAAAGGTTTGGACACAAAGGGAAAGCTATGGTTCTAGAACAGCAGGTGGAGCTGTCGTGTAGCCAAACTGCGCTGCAGGAACACGCAGGGCTGCGCATGGGAGCCGCTGGTTCCATTCAACAAGTGCTTTCTTTCACCATCCTTCATAGAACAGGTACGCAAACAAGTAATAAACCCCACAAACTGTGTGAAGTATAGTTTACAACTCAAGTCACCCAGACAACTTTTTAGCTTTTTTTCTTAAGTAAGATTTCATTTAAAAGTTGAACCAGAAAATTTATTTTCCACTCACAAAAGGTATAAGGCAAAAGGAATGACTTTAGCAATCAGACTTACTTAAATAGACCACAACAACAAAAGAAAAAAGCAGTATAGTACACATTTACAATACCTTAACTGTTGGTTAAAAGTAACAAAGATAAAGGTGTACTAACATATATGAGGTTTGTCTAATTATAGTTTTCATAGTTACAATTATTGCCAGGATCTCAGAAGTACAGGGTCCTGAGCAAACTAATAGAACTTTGAAACTGGCCCTGCTTTGAGTGGGAGGTTGAACCAGACGACACGCAGAGTTCCCTTACAAAACTAAACAATTCTAGGATTAATCCAAACCAGTTACACAGCCTAAAGTTTTAAGCTTCCATAAATAGGACTACCTAGCATGTTTGGATAGAAATGAATACAGTTGTCATTAGCAATACAACAGCCATGTTTTACAAAGGAAAGTATGATGTACATAACAATCTGACACAGAAACAGTCAGTCTGGTGCTAATAGAAGGAATGGTAAAAATTGAAAAAGGAGTACTGAAGATAAGTTATGAGTAAGTTTAAGGGAAACTTCTGTCAGCTGAGGCAGGCGAGATGGGAATGCTTTGGAGAGCTACAGCTGTGAGTTAAAGAAAAAGCAATAAAATTTCAGTTCCATGAAGAAAAATCATGAACACTGCTTGATTAAAAAAAGGAATCACCTTGTAATTTCCTGCATATCTTTGAGTCCAAAAACTCACAAAGCATTTGGGGAAAATACAAACATACACACAACATTGCTTAAGAGGCAGCCAGCTCCAGATGAAAGACTGTGGCCACTACGCAAAGCATGGCTGCTGAGAACTGCATTCAGTGACTTTAATTAAAAACAGCAGTAGGCAGCACAAGACATTGTGCCCAAGAGGCTGATGAGAGCTCCAGGCTGAAGACTCAAGTCAGCAGCTTTTGATGCTTTAGCTCAGAGAAACCTTCTGCAGTCAAGTGCAGCTCCTGAGCTCATGATGAGGAGCCTTCTTCAGACCTGTCCACTGAACAAACTCACACCAGAAGGAAGGGCCAAAACCCACCTTGCTGCCTTCCACTTGAAATTCATGGCACATTTCTTTGACTTTACCTTATATGTACACAACTGTCATGTGCTTTTGTTGACTTCTCAAAGATTACTTATCTCAGGAGTTTTTTTTAATGTGTTTTGTGGTTTTGGAAGTACCTTTAAAATAAAACAAGCCACTCTGCCACACATCTCCCCTGAGGAGTAGACAAAAAAGACACAACAGATGTTACTGTACAGATGTTAGGCTGCTTAATATACTTTTTGAAGTATTCAGGAACTACGGCAATGAGTAAAGTACAAAGACAAACAGGACATGTGGGCTAAAACCCACTTCCTTCTCAGCAGCACTTCAATGTCATTAGTGATTACAGAGACAGGACAGCAGAGACAGGACATCAAACCAAAGCCTTTTCCAAAAAAAAAAGACTAAAATTCACAGGGTAGCTTCTAACTAAAAGCATTTAATGTCATTTGAGTGGTAAATCAGCACCTTATAGTTTTA